AATTACATAGGAATAATTAAAATTTTGACTGAGAAGGTAACAAAAGGGATGATTGAGAAAGGCAGGTTTTTGACTACTTCAGGTACTGTTTTTCATTTTAAGAAGGCATTTTTTTTACTAGTTTTATTAAGATATAATTGAGAAAATTATGTATTTAAAGTGTCATTGTGATGATTTGCTATGTGTATATATTGGGAAAGGATTCTCATATCATAATCAGGTTATGTAATACATCCATCACCTCATAGATTTAATTTTTTTGGTTAGAGTTCTCTAAGTTAATTTCAGTTATACAATATTATCAACGGTAGTCACCACGTTACACATTAGATCCTCAAACCTTATTAATCTTGTAACTGAAAGTTTTTATTATGTTGAGGTGTGTTCCTTCTATACTGTTTGTTTAGTTTTTATCATGCAAAGTTGTGGAATTTTGTCAAATGCTTTTTCTGCATCTGCTGAGATGATCCTGTGATTTTTGTTCTTCATTTTGTTGATGTGGTATGTCACCTTTATGGATTAGCATATGTTGGACCGTCCTTGCATGGGAAGCATTGTTATATCTTTTTTGGGAGGGTAATCAAGTTTTTGAAATGCGTATAGCTGCTATTAGAATGTGAAATAAACAGGGTAGAAAAATTAAGCTAAAAAATGTTGAGAATAGTGGCTAATGTATCAGACATGAACATGTATAGAACATTTCTATCATTTTAGAAACTTCTTTTGGATAGTGGTTATATATTGTTTTATATAATGAGGAACTAGATGTTATTATAGTAAAAATTTTAAGAGTTAGTGTTAGCATACCTGGACTCTTGGAGAGATTGTGTGATACAGTTGAGTGAATACTACACCATGCTCTTTCTCTAAGGAACACTAACCTAATTCACAATGAGCACTAACCAGTTGAGTAATTCACAATGAGCACTAACCAGTTGAGTTTCGGGATATCAAGCTTTGATTCTGGTTCTGCTTTGTGTTGTATGAATTTGCAAGCCTTAGAAACATGGAAAGTTTTCTCAACTTCTTAAAGAGATACTACCATCTCTCAAAAACATTAAAAAGAGACAAGAAACAGCTAATATGTATTCACTGCGTAGAGATATTTGAAAAAAACATTTTTAAAAAGAAGAAAAATCTTATCTTTAAAGAAAGACTTGCTATCTACCATCCATTTCGTTCTTTTCGTTAAGATACCATGATATCGTTCATTCTGTAGTCTTGAAGATGCACTTCTCTCTTACCCTCCTAACTTTGTATGGCTGAAGTATTAGATCATTTGTAAAAATGACTTAAACTTGAATTTTGTGTTTATATTTAATTTTAGGTTTCCAAACCATGTTTGTTTCAGACCGTAAGCACTGAGAGAATGCATGTTTCCTAGGACATGAAGTTAAAAGGTTAAGGAACTTATGGGGCACCTGGGTGGCTCAGTCGGTATGATTTTGGCCCAGGTTGTGATCTTACCTTTTGTGAGATGGAGCCCCATGTCGGATTCTGTGCTGTGATAGCACAGAGCCTGCTTGGAATTTTCTCTGTCCCTCTCTGTTTGCCCCTCTCCAGCTTGCACTCATGCAGTCTGTCTGTCTGTCTGTCTCTCTTTTTCAAAATAAGTAAATAAACATTTTTTTAAGTTAAAAAATGAAAAGTTAAATTTTTGAAGAGAAATAGAAGGATTAGAGAGGAATGGAGGGTATGTCCAGAAGAATTTAATTGATACAGAGATCAAAACATATAAAAACCTCATTTCTAAAATAACCCTTTTATTTTTTACTTTTTAAAAAAAAATGTTTATTTTTGAGAGAGAGCATGCACAAGCAAGGAAGGGGTAGAGAGAGGGATATAGCAGTGAGCTGGATGGGAGCTCGAACTCACAAATCTTGAGATCACGACCTGAGTCCAAGTGGGATGCTCAACCAACTGAGACACCCAGGCACCTCCAATATATCCCTTTTATAGACCAGAAATTTTTAAGTCTTTGCTGATAATGCTTATCCAGATTCTATCCAGAAAAGAATAATTTAATAGGCCACGGGAGTTAATTGTATTAGGGTTTTACGTAATATCTTTGTCTCTCTTTTCTTAGGTAAAACTTAGTCATAAGTCTCTCAGTTAAATATAATTTATGTGTCTGTATGAAATTGATGATCCGAATCTTGCTAGTGTAGGAAAGTTAATTTGAGGAAAGCTCTGTACTGTTACCTCTGATGAAATGATAGTCTCTTTGCTCTCTCCTGCTGTGTACCTTTCTGTTGCTTTAGAAGCATGGCATATGAGACTTGTTTTGAGGCCCAAGAGTTTAAAGGGAAAAGACATAAAAAATGTGGCTGAGTGTTTCATATTATGACACTGTTGGTTCCTGTATTAAAGTTATCTGAGATAGTTACCACTTTATATTTAGCAAAACAATTCCTCTCATTTTTGTAAATAGTTGTAAGCTTATTGGTGATTTTAATGATTGGTGTATATGAATATTTAATGATAAGCAAGTGTTAGATTTAAGTATTTTCTAAACTGTGTTCCCATTAATCTAAAATAGTGTTGCATAAATACTTTATATAAAATATTGGGTTTGTATGAAACACAAGCTCAGGGGCGCCTGGGTGGCGTAGTCGGTTAAGCGTCCAACTTCAGCCAGGTCATGATCTCGCGGTCCGTGGGTTCGAGCCCCGCGTCGGGCTCTGGGCTGGTGGCTCGGAGCCTGGAGCCTGTTTCCGATTCTGTGTCTCCCTCTCTCTCTGCCCCTCCCCCGTTCATGCTCTGTCTCTCTCTGTCCCAAAAATAAATAAAAACGTTGAAAAAAAAAAATGAAACACAAGCTCAATGTTGAACAGCAATTGGCCCTCAGTACATTTTGAAATGTTTTTAAAAGAGTGAGGGAGAAGTTTAATTTGTATTTGAGTTTATCCTAAACCTAATCATCATTTTATTTTCATATTAGAATTATAGAATGTTTCTAAATGTTTTTCTCCATACTTTACTAACATCAGATATAAACAGAATTTCCAGTCCTTTCTTTTCTCTCTGCCCTATTTTAATTATGGGTTTTTAGGAGTTTCTTTGCTTTATTTACTCTCTCCCCATAGCTTCTACAAAATTTCAGCAAGAGTTCTCTCCTTCACAGTGTGTTAATTTTTTTTATTGTGTTAACCTAGCTACTTTTCAGTCAGAAGGTCTGGATTTAAAACCTGGCAATCAAGGTAGATCAGGCAAGGTTCTGAAAGGAAACTGAATCCAACTGAGATGGTGCAAGAGACTTTCACGAAGGATTGCAGATAAAGGGGGGATTAAGGGAACCCACAAGGGATGTTCCTGTAGTTACAGAGGGAAGCAAGGAAAATACAGTGTTTTTAGAGCCTGATGAGAACTGTGGAGAGGGTGATAAGGGGACACAGCTTCTGTTAGAAAATGTGACCAAAAGGGAGGATGCTGGGAAGAAATAATCCGGCCTTCTCTGCCTTCTGATCTGCCAGTGACAGCCCTGAAACTCAGAAGGTGCATTTGTAGAGGTTAGCCTCCTTTGGCACAGAGTTGGATAGAAGAGTATTGGAGGAATAGGGTAGTGACAGTAAGTAATAACCAGTACAACTACTGATGAGTATGGGATTGATTTTAGGTAACATAATATTTTAGATTACATTTCTAATCTGTAAACTGTAGATACTTCACTAGGATTGATGTGAGCATTAAAATGAGACCTGGTAAACATGTCAGAGTACTATCATAGTGCCTTTGTCTTGTAGATCCTTGTTTTTAGTTTTGATAAGGTGAGGATTTGAAAACTTCAGCTTCCTTTCACATGGTGCTGTGCTGCATTTGTTTTATAGGAATTTTGGTTGTCACTGTATTTAAATATATATGATAGTTTTTATATTTTCCAGTATTTTTTGAGAAGTGAATTGCAGTCATTATTGAGTAGTTACCAAGATTTAGAGACTGCTTTTACTTATTGCCCAATGACAGGCATTGTCTTTTTCACTCTTGCTGTAGACAGAGCACTACCGACTACTGAATTTGTGGAGTGAGGAAGCTTTACAGATGTAGAGATTAGACTTTGGTGAAAGATTGGTCAGACTTCACCCTGCTACTGCTACCATTGGTGTACCCTTGTTGTGTACTTCTCTTTTCTTTCTTTTTTTTTTTTTTTTTTTAAAAGCAGAAGGCTCCCAGGGGCCTCAGAAAGACCTTTTTTTTTTTTTTTAATGTTTTAAAATGTTTATTTAATTAGAGAGAGAGAGAAAGAGTAAGCATGGGGGGGTGGGGCAGAGAGAGACAGAATCTGAAGCAGACTCCAGGTTCCAGGCTGTGAGCTGTCAACACAGAGCCCAACACGGGGTCCAACTCACGAACCTGCAATCACGACCTGATCTGAAGTTGAACGCTCAACCGACTGAGCCATCCAGGCACCCCTGTACTTCTCTTTCCTTTTCTTTTCTTTCTTTTAATTATTTTCTAATCTTTATTTATTTTTGAGAGACAGAGTGTGAGCAGGGGAGGAGCAGAGAGAGAGGGAGACACAATCTGAAGCAGGCTCCAGGCCCCAAGCTGTCAGCCACAGCCCGACGCGGGGCTTAAACTCATGAACTGTGAGATCATGACCTGAGCTGAAGTCGGATGCTCAACCAACTGAACCACCCAGGCGCCCCTGTACTTCTCTTTTCTAAAGACAGCAGTGATGCTTCGTCACACTTTTGTTCCTGATCCTTAGAGTATTTCTTCTACCAGAGATCTGCTTTCATCCAGTCTCACCTTTGAGCATTCATAGGCTAGACCAGGATGAAGACAGTCTATTTTCAGGAAAATTTTAGCTACCAGGTAGATAATAATCTGCTTGAAAGCATTTTCTGTCTTTTAAAAAAGTCTCCCCCCAAAAAACTGTATTATGATTTTGAAATTTAATAGATTTCTATTTTATGTAACAAGGTTGAGTTAGTAGTTTTTGTAAATTTCAGACTGAACTTTTCTGAATTCCTGACTAAATCTTCATTATTTTCCACCAGACGTTCTGCCAAATCCCGAAGCAGAAGCCCATATTCCTCTAGGCATTCAAGATCTCGTAGCAGGCACAGGTTGTCTCGATCCAGAAGCCGTCACTCTAGCATTTCTCCTAGCACACTAACTCTGAAGAGTAGCCTGGCAGCCGAGTTGAACAAGAATAAAAAAGCACGGGCTGCAGAGGCAGCAAGAGCTGCAGAAGCCGCGAAAGCTGCAGAAGCAGCTAAGGCTGCTGAGGCTGCTGCCAAAGCTGCCAAAGCCTCCAACACTTCTACACCTACGAAGGGGAGCACGGAGACGGGTGCCGGTGCATCTCAAACAAACCATGTGAAGGATGTGAAGAAACTGAAAACAGAACACGCACCTTCTCCGTCAAGTGGTGGGACTTTAAAAAACGACAAGGCAAAAACAAAGCCACCTCTTCAGGTAACCAAGGTGGACAATAATTTGATTGTAGATAAAGCCGCCAAGAAAGCAGTTGTAGTTGGGAAGGAGAGTAAATCTGCTGCTACAAAGGACGAACCAGTATCTCTTAAAGAGAAAACCAAACCACTTACACCAAGTTTAGGAGCCAAGGAGAAGGAGCAACATGTGGCTTTAGTGACCTCTACGTTACCACCATTACCTTTGCCTCCCATGCTGCCTGAAGATAAAGATGCCGATAGGTAAGTGCAAAAAAGTTTTGTCACTAACAGTTTATTTTTATTATTTTGAAATTATTTTTTTACTGTTTATTTTTGAGAGAGAGAGAGAGAGAAAGAGCAAGAGCGAATGAGCGTGGGGGAGGGGTAAAGAGAGAGGGGATGGGGGAGACACAGAATGTGAAGCATTCTGTCAGCACAGAACCAGCCTCGGGGCTCGAACTCTCGAGCCGCAAGTTAATGACCTGAGCCCAGGTCAGACGCTTAACTGAGCCACCTAGGCGCCCTTGTCACTAACAGTTTAAAAAAAGAAATGTAAGTTTGGTGTGAGAAATTACCTGAAATACCCTCCCCCCCCATAAAAAGGTTATAAAAAAAATCATAAGTAAATTATCTTTATTATTATTTTCACTTTAAAATGAAGCACACTGCTTGTAAGATGACAAAATATAGGTTATGCTAAGAATTCCAGGAAAAATTTGCTGTTGGCTTCGGAATACAATGTATATTTCCGATTGGGTTTGGGAATTAGAGATGCTAATACTGTGTTTTCTTTGATTTAATATTCCTTAAATGACAGTATCAGAAACAGGACATTTATGAGAGACTCTGTCCTGGGTGATTAAAGCAGGTATATTCATTATTTCTAGGTTTTTTCTGTGGCCTTATACATTTATCACTCTGGGTAGCTTTATGAATTTATTATTTTTTAGACTTTTCTTGACCCTTTTAATTTTTTGCAATTGGAGATTCATTATGTATTACAGAAAACTCAATGTGGTTTTGCTTTCCTTTAACATGTTTACAGATTCTTTTATGAATATTGGGGGTATGACTTTTTTTTGAAACATTTTATTTTTTAGAGGATTAAGATAAGAGTGTCTGTAAAGTAAATGTGGTTCTAAGAATATTTCTGAAACATATGCTAGGATAGAAGCATTATGCTACTGTGTAATGTCTGTCTGTTACACCACTTAACCTTTTTCATTTTTATTTTTATGGAGAAATTAGAGCTGTTTTTCCCTCATTTTCTGTTAAAAAGCAACTGTATGAGCAGTTTTCCTAGCTGACATCTTTATAGAATTTGGAAACAAGTGGATGAGAATGCTGTGTGGGTAGGTCTTTCAAGTGCTCACTTTGGCTGGCATTAAAAATCATAATTCCCATGTTTTGTGTCCACTATAATGTCTTTTTTCTACAATCAAAAATGTTGCCAAGAGAACTCATCCAATATAATCAGGTATTCTCCAATTATACCACTCTAATTATGGTATTTACAGGTTTCACTGTTCTCTAGGAACACTGAAGGTTCATAAACAGAGTAGTGATTTGTAATTTTGATGAGTTGTGGAATGGACTCTCCAGCAGAGAGGCATGAATGCAGAACTGAGTCACTTCATTAGTGAGAAAATAACCCATTTGCCAAGAATCTAGTAATTCTGGGCTGGTGAGACTGGTTATTCTCTATTTTTCATATATCCTATGGAGATAAATTTTTACTGGTGGTATTTTCAAGAATTCAAGATGCATGCAGGTGAATGCTTTAAGGAGGGTATTTTTTGTGCATCCTTTTTTTTTTTGACAGTTGACTGATTTATTGAACAATAGAATCTAAAGTTCTGATCTCGGATGTGTACAATCCCCATTTAGCTTTGCATCTTTTATTTTTTATTTATTTATTTTTTTTATTTAACTTTATTTTTTATTTTTTAAAATTTACATCCAAACTAGTTAGTATATAGTGAAGCAATGATTTCAGTAGATTCCTTAATGCCCCTTACCCATTTAGCCCATCCCCCCTCCCACAACCCCTCCAGCAACCCTCAGTTTGTTCTCCATATTTATGAGTCTCTTTTGTTTTGTCCCCCTCCCTGTTTTTATATTATTTTTGTTTCCCTTCCCTTATGTTCATCTGTTTTGTCTCTTAAAGTCCTCATATGAGTGAAGTCATATGATTTTTGTCTTTCTCTAATTTCACAGCATAATACCCTCCAGTTCCATCCATGTAGTTGCAAATGGCAAGATTTCATTCTTTTTGATTGCTGAGTAATACTTCATTGTATACATACACCACATTTTCTTTATCCATTCATCCATCGATGGACATTTGGGCTCTTTCCATACTTTGGCTATTGTTGATAGTGCTGCTATAAACATGGGGACATGTGTCCCTTCGAAACAGGACACCTGTATCCCTTGGATAAATGCCTAGTAGTGCAATTGCTGGGTCATAGGGTAGTTCTGTTTTTAGTTGTTTGAGAAACCTCCATACTGTTTTCCATGTGCATCCATTTTTTTTTAACATTTATTTTTGAGACAGAGAGAGAGAGAGAGCATGAACAGGGGAGGGTCAGAGAAAGAGGGAGACACAGAATCTGAAACAGGCTCCAGGCTCTGAGCTGTCAGCACAGAACCCAATGCAGGGCTCGAACCTATGGACCGCGACATCATGACCTGAGCCGAAGTTGGATGCTTAACCGACTGAGCCACAGGCGCCCCAGTGTGTGTCCATATTTAATGAGATGTTGGTATATGTCATGCTTATCATCAAAAATTTTTTTGACCTGTATTCTTTTTGGTCTCTTCTGCTTTTCTGTTGTGTCTCTGTTCTTCTTTCTTTGAATATGTTTGCACATTTCATGGATATAGAAGTTTTTAAGACCCCTGGCTACTACTACTAACATGTGTGGCCACAGATCAATTCAACACCAGTCAGTCACTCTTCTTTTGATGCTCCATTGTCCTTGGTCAGTGGGAACTCCTTAAGCTGACTGTCTTGTCCTTTTGACATGACCTGTTTGGTTTTGAGTACTTCCTAGCCAAGTAATATCTTTCAGGCTTACTTTGAACTTTGCTTCTCCTTCAGACCCGGAATTTATTACTCTTTAAAAATCACAAGATAGACTGTTAACTATATACTTTCATATAATAAATTGTTTTGTTTTAAAGGAAATTAGGATTATACTATTCATAATACTCGACTTTTTTTTTTCATTTAATATGTTGGAGATCATGCCATATTGATATATGGATAGGTTCAATACTCCTGTCTATAGGAATGATAAATCATGCTCTTACTAACTATTCTATTGGTTAAGGGATACTTAGATTTATAATAATTGTTTGCTATTACACTCTTGTTATATTAATATTTTATGTACGTTTGAGCAATTTTTGTAGGATAGTTATAAGGTTGAAGTATATACATTTAAAATCTGATTAAAAGCTGCCAAATTGTATCTTAATAAGACTGTGTACCAATTTATACAGTCTATAAAATATATGATTATTTAATTTTGCGTTTTTCTGATTATTGAGATAGCATCTTTCTGAATACTTGTTGGCTATTTATTTTTTTCCAGTGAACTACTTGTTTATATCTTATGCTGGCTTTTCCTTAATACTATTTTTCTTTTTTTTTTTCCTTATGTTAAAGATCTTGCCTTTCAGAGTCTATTGCTTGCCTTTGACATTTATTTGTTTTGTTTTTGGCTATATGGATGTTTTCCTTTTTAAAAAATTTTTTTTTTAATGTTTATTATTTTTTGAGAGAGAGAGAGAGAGACAGAGAGCAAGCAGGGAAGGGGCAGAGAGAGAGGGAGACACAGAATCGGAAGCAGGCTCCAGGCTCTGAGCTGTCAGCACAGAGCCCGATGCGGGACTCGAACTCACAGACCGCGAGATCATGACCTGGGCAGCAGTGGGCTGCCCAACTGACTGAGCCACCCAGGCGCCCCGGATGTTTTCCATTTTTAAATATAGTCAGATCTGTCATTTTTCCCTTAAAACTTATGGGTTCATAAAGTTAAAAAAAACTTGACTCAAATCATACAGAAATTTGTTTTTGGTTATTAGATGAGGAAGAAAAATGATCTCCCCTACCACCCTGTAGGCTGATAGATCCAGTTGTTTCTAACATCACTTACTGAATAGTCCCAGCTCACTGGTTTGTGGTGCCATATATAAAAATTCTTATAGATACCTGTATTTCTGGACCCTCTCTTCTTTTTTTTTTTAAAAAATGTTTTATTATTTTTGACAGAGAGAGAGAGAGACAGAGAGACAGAGCATGAGTGGGGGAGGGGCAGAGAGGGAGGGCGACACAGAATCCATACAGGCTCCAGGCTTTGAGCTGTCAGCACGGAGCCCTATGTGGGACTCAGACTCACCGACCACGAGATCATGACCTGAGCCGAAGTCGGATGCTCAACCGACTGAGCCACCCAGGTGCCCCTGGACCCTCTTTTATATTAATGTGTTTTATTATTTCTTTGCCAGTACTTTTTTGTTTTGACTTCTTTAGATGAATAGTATATTGGTTCTCAGACTCAAATACTGATTAGTGAATAGCTCTGCTATTCAGCCTCAGCTTCAGTGCTACTGTATATGAATTTGAGCCCAGTGTTGCTAGAGCCTTTGATTTTTTTTTAAGAAGCCTGAAATCTGAATGTTTATGTAAATTTTCTGATTTAAAAATATTTACAATTTAATTCATAGTTTTTTTTTTGTTTTTTTGTTTTTTTTTTTTTTTCTTATAAAACATTGGGTAGACCATAATATATATTCCTTGACTTCAGCCAATCTTGGGCTTCTAGTTTGGGATCTTTTATAAAATTTGTTTTAATGTTTATTTATTTTTGAGAGAGAGAGAGAGACAGAGAGAGACAGAGTATGAGTGGGGGGATGGGCCGAGAGAGAAGTAGACCCAGAATTCGAAGCAGGTTCCAAGCCATCAGCATAGAGCCGGATGTGGGGCTCGAACTCATGAACTGGGAGATCATGACCTGAGCCAAAGGTCACGCTTAACTGACTGAGCCATCCAGATGCCCCTAATTTGGGATCTTTTAAAACAAGTTGACCACAGGACAAGGCAAATCTCACTTCATTATTGTTTTTTGGAAGTGTTTTTTGGCAGATTTTTGTCTTTATTCTTAGATTTTTATAACCTGCTTGTCAAGTTATATTAAAAAATTTTTTGCTTGTGTTTTGTGTGGGACTCTAGTGAGTGTAGTAGATTAATTTGGAGACTAATAGCTTTACAGCATTACAGTTTCCTGTACAAAAACATTGTTTCTTTCCATTCATTCAGATCCAGTTTTATTTTCATCATATTTTTAAATTTTCTTCCATTGGCCTTGTATATTTCTTGTTAAGGCATTTTATTGTTTTTGTTGCTGTAGTATATGGGAGCTATTAAAAATATCATGCTTCCTGTTTGGTTATTGCAGGTATTCAATAAAAATAATGATGCTTTTAATTATATAGTATTATTCTTGGATAGTTAGTATTTCATTTCTCTGAAGCCTGGGAGTCTTGCTGAATTTGGTAGTTCGTAACATATATATGAATATAGGCAGTCTTTTAATTTTTAAGTTATAAGTAAAGTTAAGATTTGTGTTTTTTCCTCTAAAAATGTTGATTTGAATCTTCAGACAAATGAGAATTTTTGACTGAAAACTAATTACAAGTAAGAGACTACAGTTTTGTTTTGTTTTTTGAGACTACAGTTTTCTAAGAATTATTTGGAATAGGTTTATTTTCAGGCGCAGCTCAAGTGGTACCTTTTCAGAAAGAAGCCTTTACTATCTTTCAATCCTGATTTAGTGACCCGTTAACTACATTACTCTAGGACTCCATTTGTGTAGTACTTTATCCTACTGCTTGCTTGACTATGTTCTCCAAAAGTCTGTCTAAGTTCCTTTCTGAGAGGAGTTATATCTTAAATTTTTTTGATGTTTATTTTATTTTTATTTTTTTTAATTTTAAAAAAATGTTTATTTTTGAGAGAGAGGGAGAGACAGAGTGTGAGCAGAGGAGGGGCAGAGAGAGAGAGGGAGACACAGAATCCGAAACAGGCTCCAGGCTCCGAGCTGTCAACACAGAGCCCAATGTGGGGCTCAAACTCACAAACCATGAGATCATGACCTGAGCTGAAGTTGGACACTTAACCATGTGAGCCACCCAGGCGCCCCTGGAGTTGTATCTTGACCTGAGCTGAAGTCGGATGCTCAGCTGACTGAGCCACCCAGGCATCCCTGATGTTTGTTTATTTTTGAGAGAGAGAGAGAGAGCGTGAGCAGGGGAGGGGCAGAGAGAGAGGAGACACAGAATCTAAAGCAGGCTCCAGGGTCTGAGCTGTGAACACAGAGCACAATGTGGGGCTCAAACTCACAAACCATGAGATCATGACATGAGCTGAAGTTGGATGCTTAACCATCTGGGCCACCCAGGTGCCCCAGGAGTTGTATCTTAATGTATTTGTTATAGTTTTTATTGTTAAAGTCCAGTGCCTTACCTAACATCTAGTACATAGAAGCATAAAATCAATTGAACGTATGGACATTAACATTGAAAAGGAGGGTATGTACCATTACTGTAAAAATAAAACTGCAAACTAGTTTCCTTTTGAGCATGTTTTCTCTGTTAAAGAACCTTCTGGTGAGTAACACGGGGCTATGGAGAAAAGGCACAATTTTATTATAGTAATTGATAAATGGTTTTTATCAGATGGTATTAAATCAGATTGTACAATAATATTGTTTAACACGAATAGAAGTTATAATTAAATGATTTACATTGATAATGTCATTTGTAATTTCCGACCGCAGTGGTGTAGTCTCACTAAACTTTTTCATTATCGGACTCATAACTGCTATGAAAGTGTGTGAAGTCCAAATTTTGTTATCATTATAAGATTTTCTTTCAAGAAATGTCATTTTTAAAAAATTTTTTTCAACGTTTTATTTTTTGCGAACGAGAGACAGAGTGTGAGTGGGGGATGGTCAGAGAGAGAGGGAGACACAGAATCCGAAGCAGGCTCCAGGCTCTGAGCTGTCAGTACAGAGCCTGATGCAGGGCTTGAACCCACGAACTGTGAGATCATGACCTGAGCCGAAGTGTGATGCTTGACTGACAAGCCACCCAGGTGCCCCAAGAAATGTCATATTTTTAAGCAGATTTTTTAGTAACTGGGAGGTTTAAAATAATCAGATTACCTAGTTAAAATTCGGAGTTCTTTATGCATTCAAGAAAGTACAATACAAACAACTTAAATTTTGACCTGTAATTTCCATAAGCTAGAACCTTAAATATTCAAGAGAGTCATTATCCAATTTAAGAAAATTAACCCTGGAAAAGGGCAAAGCTAAATTAGTTGTTCGTGGTTATCTAAATGGGCAAGATATATAACGCCATTTAGTGTTATTTATTTAATAAGAGACTTTTTCTTTTAAGTTTATTTATTTATTTTGAGAGAGAGGGCATGAGTAGAGAAGGTGCAAAGAGAGAAGGAGAGACTCCCAAGCAGGCTTCACACTGTCAGCGCAGAGCCCGATGCGGGGCTTGAACTCACGAAGCATGAGATCATGATGTGAGTTGAAATCAAGAGTTGGATGCTTAACTGACTGAGCCACCCAGATGCCCCAAGACTTTTTTTTTTTTAATGTTTGTTTATTTTGAGGGAGAGAAAGAGAACACATGCGGGGGAGGGGCAGAGAGAGAGGAAGAGAGAATCCCGTGGGCTCTGTGTTTGCAGCGCTTGAACTAACGAACACTGAGATCATGACGTGAGCCTAAATCACGAGTTGGACCCTCAACTGACTAGCTGCCCAGGTGCCCCATATAGTGTTATTTATTTCTATAAAACCTCTTTATGTCTCTCCAACAGAGTCAGGATGCTATCACAGAACTAATGAATTTTTCTGTGAAGCATGACTAATTGATTTTTTAGTCTTAATTTACAGTTTCATAGTAATTCTAAATCATCTTTGAAATATATGATTTTTTGAACAGATTTAGATTTGCAGAAAAATTATAATTATACTACAGAGAGTCCCCATACATACTGTATTTAGTTTTTTCGGTATTAACATCTTATATTAATATGGTATGTTTGTTTCAATCAGTGAACAAATATCAAAATATTATTGTAACTAAAGTTCATACTTTGTTCAGGTTCCTTAGTTTTTATCTAATCATTTTTACCCCCAAATTTGGTATTTTGCAATTGAATAGTTTATTATTTTAGCTGGAAAGTAACTTAGTTTAGTATTTTGCCATTACTACTTAAGTGTAAGACATGGCTGATTATTATTTCTCAAATAAATGTGTTTTGTTTGTCTGACTCCTTTCTTCCTTAGTTTACGAGGAAATATTTCAGTAAAAGCAGTTAAAAAAGAAGTAGAGAAGAAACTACGATGTTTACTTGCTGATTTACCACTGCCCCCTGAGCTACCAGGAGGAGATGATCTCTCAAAGAGTCCAGAAGAAAAGAAAACAACAACACAGTTACATAGTAAAAGGAGGCCTAAGTATGTGCTTGCTTTCTACCTGCTCTTAAATTGACCAGAAATGATTCTGGGTCCTCATAAAATCATAAAACACAAAAAAATTAAGATTTAAAATAATAAAAAGTATATTTACTCTTTAAACTTAAGTATATGAATAAATTCTACTAGAGTTTTGAAAAAAAATTCATAATTCCCTGCATACCTATTCAAAATGACTAATAAAACTAAATTTAATTTTCTCTCATGGTTTGTAATGTATTAATTTCTTGGGGTATTATATGTTAAAGATAATTTCTATAATTAAGTTTTTAAATAATACAAAACACTGAAATTGGAGAAGGTGGAAGTCAGCATTCAGTGAGCCCAAACAAAATTAGTAATGGGCAAGCTGCTATGTTTTCTTTGCTTTTTAGCTCCATTTGCTCCTATAACTAAATACATTTTTCATTTTGCAAGAGGTGGAGTGGAAGAAGGTTTGAAATCTGTATCCTAAATTAGCTTCAAGTAAGTGCCTAGAGATAACTCCCTTGAAACGTGTTCATCAGTTAAGAAGTGAGCATGTTGATTTCTTTTTTTACTTCTATTTAACCCAGGGAAGGTGTGAGTAAGACTTTGAGTTAGATCTGATTTTAGAATTGCTGTTCAGGTGCCTCGTGTGAGTATGAGGCAATTTTCTAGTATAGAGTAGAAAACTAAAAAACTTTTAAAAGTCTTTCTGAGTATTGTAGCTTTATTCCTTTACTTGAATTTCTATTACATACCAGAATATTGAAAGACTATTAAATTATGTATCTTTTGAAGAATGTCAGATATTTGTCATATATAACACACACACAGCCACAAAGTATGGATTCCTGAAAGTTGATTATATTAATACTTTTTTTACTCTCTTGGACTAAACATCTTCTAGTATTTCCATTTTTAAGATAATTTCATCTAGCTGTAAGTCTAAATTTGTCAGTAAGCCTTATAGTTAGATTTTTGGTAATGTTCATTATCAAACTTGCTTTTTGGAAGCATTTTATATATTTTGTATATATATAATATATATTATATATGTAGATGATGAATGAAAAGGAAAACTTCCTAAAGGTTGGTTAGAGAACTTTGACTCTTTGTATCAGTGTTGGTTTTATCCACTCATTGAAAAATTACATTTTGTTAATCTGGAAGTTCTTCATATAAGCCTTAGTTCTTTTTCCAGTTTGTTAGTCTATAGAAGAGTCAGCATGGAGAAATGATGCCTTGACTTTCATGATAATTTATAATACTTTTTGGGAGAGGGTGGATATTAAATATTAAACAGTTTATTCAACTTGCTTGATTGTATATAAAAACTTAAGAACTATATTTGATAGAATATGTGGGCCTCGCTATGGTGAAATCAAAGAAAAAGATATTGACTGGGGAAAACGCTGCGTGGATAAATTTGATATCATCGGAATTATTGGAGAAGGTACCTATGGACAAGTTTACAAGGCCAGGGATAAAGACACTGGTAAGTATGCCAAATACTGTGGATCTTTGGATCTATTGAATGTACTTAATTTGTGTTTTTTAAAATGGTTTTTTAGTATTTGTGATGTGTAGCATGGTGGGATTTAGATTTCTTTAATTGTGAATAAATTCTTACATTGTTAGTAATCGGGGAAAAAAAGTATCTTGACCTTAATTAGCCTTAGTAGTAAATTTTGTTGTATTAAGCCTTATGCAACACTTTTTCTTTTAGCAAAATATTCTTTTTTTCTGTCAAAGTTATCCTTTGGAGGCCATATTTGGCAGCTTAATCTTTTACAACATAATCAGGAACCTGTGAGACAGTTTTAAAGGTTTTGCAGCCAGTAAAAAGTAACTGTGCAGAGGCTACATATTTTACTAATAACTCTTAGAGCCAGTGTTTAATCTTTACTTATAATTCCTTGTTGAAATAAACCAATAGATTAAAATAGCATAGCTATTTGAAGCCATTTAGTATAGGGGAGACTAGACTACCTTATGCCTGGAAACTCTGGAACGCAGTTATGGCATACAGTAATACTGTTTATACTGGTGATTCTGCATTATCAAAAAGAGATTAAATTGTAGCTTTTAAAAGCTGTTTAACAAATAAGGAATCATACTTTATTTTAGACTTCCATCAAAAAGAATTAAATAAGTTTTAATGATTAAAAGTATAAACATCCTTCTTTTGGAAAATTTGTAAGTACAGAATTCTTTTTTTTCTCCAAAGAAGAAGAATGAACAAACCTTTTTTTCTAATTTTTTTTTTTTTTAACATTTATTTATTTTTGAGAGAGACAGAGCATGAGTTGGGGAGGGGCAGAGAGAGGGAGACACAGAATCTGAAGCAGGCTTCAGGCTCTGAGCTGTCAGCATAGAGCCCTGTGTGGGGCTCGAACTCACAAACTGAGATCATGACCTGAGCTGCAGTTAGACACTCAACCAACTGAGCCACCCAGGCGTCCCAACAAACCTTTATAATAGTGAACTTTTACTTACAGGATTTGTGTGTGTGTGTTCTTTTAATAGTGAGATCTTATCTGAGGCCGTATTCATTCATATCTGAATTATAAAGTCGTTTAGTGTAGTGGGAAGAGTACATACTTTTGAGATAGCTAAAACAGATTTTGAATCTATGTCCCACTGCTGGGCTGGGCAGCTTTGGACAAGTTAATATGTCCGAGCACATTTTGTCACCTGCTTAATGTATAGAATCTTCTCATCTGTTGAGAGATTTTATGCATGTATAAGCATATTATATAAATTTAACCTCCTCTCTATTTTTTTTTTTTTTTGAGGGAGAGAGAGCATGAGCCGAGGGGTTGGTGGTATAGGAAAAGGGAGAATCTTCAGCAGGCTCTGTGCTCAGTGTGGAGTCCAAAGCAGAACTTGATTTCAAGAGCATGAGATCATGACCTGAGATGGAATCAAGCTGGACAATTAACCAACTGAGCCATCCAGGCATTCCATCCCCTCCTTCACTTTTTATTTATTTATTTAAAAAAAATTTTTTTTTTCCAACGTTTGTTTATTTTTGGGACAGAGAGAGACAGAGCATGAACAGGGGAGGGGCAGAGAGAGAGGGAGACACAGAATCGGAAACAGGCTCCAGGCTCTGAGCCATCAGCCCAGAGCCTGACGCGGGGCTTGAACTCACAGACCGCGAGATCGTGACCTGGCTGAAGTTGGACGCTTAACCGACTGCGCCACCCAGGCGCCTCTCTCCTTCACTTTTTAAAAATGGTAGTGTAATGCAGCTACTGTTCATCATCTTGCTTTTTTCATTTAATATATCGTACAGAGCATACAGTAACAATACTTATGGACCTACCCCATCCTTTTTAACAGTTATATAGTATTCCACAGTTTGGATAATTTAACTAGAGACTTAATTTCTTGAGCTATGAACATTATCATTGGTACTTTGAAAGCTAAAATATATTTTGTGAGTAGTAAGAGGTAGGAACAGAAATTTTGAATTAAAATAAAGTTAAAATTAAGAAAAATGTCATTTGGTTTTGTCAGCTGCTAACTTGATTTTACTTAATTTTTATAGGAGAAATGGTAGCCTTAAAGAAAGTACGTCTAGATAATGAAAAGGAAGGCTTTCCAATTACAGCAATTCGAGAAATTAAAATTCTCCGGCAGCTTACCCACCAGAGTATTATCAATATGAAGGAAATAGTGACTGATAAAGAAGATGCTTTGGATTTTAAGAAGGATAAAGGTATGTGTGCATATTTACATAACCAGTTCTGCATATGCATGATGTTGCTAACTTGCAGATTTTGTCATAGGTATTAACTATATGAGTAATTACTAGGTACATAAAACTATTGCATTAATATCATACTCTGTTTTTAGATGTAGTTGAGTTGAAGAATTATTTATTTACTTTAGTGATATTTGAGTCCCCTAAGAAACAAAACATATTTATCAGTATTACACATATTTAGTAGTAGTAGTTTTTTGGAGCATCAATGTATAATTTTTAATCTTCATTTTTTAGTTATTGAGAAATAGTTTATAGTAGTATAGAATATATGCTTATCTTACATTTTTTAAATGTTTTAATGCCTTAACATATAAGGAAACTTTATGGTAGGCATTTATGTTATTTCTGAACATGTGGAGGCAAAATCTTACCTGAAATTGCCTTTAATGAATTATAGTGGTATATGCTTTTAGCAGAAAAACTAAAAAGAAATTAGCATGCTCATTAAAGTAGTTATCATAAGGCATATGGTAGGTAAAAGGCTCTATTTCCAATAGGTTTTAGGATCTTTGAGATTTTGGAACCAAAGTTGACTTCATTATAACCTGTGGTTTTCAAAGAGCAAAATTCTTTTTCAAATCTAAGATAAGATAGATTAAAATAGGTGTTCTGATTGAACATGGTACTTAACCCCCTCCCATCCGCAACTGTACACACACACACACACACACACACACACACACACACACACACAATCTTAGTCTTCTGGGGAACAGTATAAAAAATGAGTGACTTAATACATAATAGTTATTTTGTAGAAAGGAACTTCTCAAAGTATTCTGTATGCACTATGTAGAAAATTTGAATTTTTTTTTTTTTTAATTTTTTAAATGTTTATTGTTGAGAGAGAGAGACCAACAGAACATTGAGCGGGGGACGGGCAGAGAGAGAGGGAGACACAGAATCTGAAACAAGCTCCAGGCTCTGAGCTGTCAGCACAGAGCCTGATGCAGGGCTTGAACTTGTGAACCATGAGATCATGATCTGAACTGAAGTTGGACGCTTAACCGACTGAGCGGTTAAGCCCCTAGAATCATCTTTTTAATTGATACCACTTTCATTAGTTGTTGTCCATAATAACACCAATATTCCTTAGCTTGATTTTAATCCAGTTTATATTATTCATCATTTCTTATTGTGTAGTAGAAAGGATACTGGTTTGGCTTGTGTTGGAATGTCTGAGATTTGTGACTTTGCTTACGAGCAGTGCAACCTTATTTGCAAGATCTTTAGCCCATCTGAGCCCGTGTGACCTCTTCATCCATTAAAGGAAAATTATTTTTCTTACTGTGTAGTAAGGATTAAATTAAGATCTTATATATGAGGGTTGTATGTAAACATTTTTCATTAATGTCATACTATAGCCAAAATTAATATATTTGTTCTTCCTCCAACATACCCTGAACCTCCTGCTGCTTTGATTTGTGGGATCATATCCCTGCCTATTTCTTTAACCCCATCTCTGCCATTTTTCTGATTGTCCACCAAGCTTCAGTCATATAGGTCACATATTCCAATGCACTTCGCTGCCTTAAAGTCTTTACATATGCTGCTTCCCTGGGCTTAAACCTCTCTACCCTCAACACACACATGCATGCACGCATGCACACACGTGTGCACACACAATTTGAAAGACTGTTTTCTCATCCTCTGGGTCACAGACTGAATGTTACTTTATTCATCAGTGAAGCCTAACCGGATGGACCACTTTCAACTGAGTGGAGACACAGGCAATTTAAAAGCCTTAGTTTTTTTCTTCATAACTTTTTCCAGAATAACTACTGATTTGTTATTTACTTGTATCTCCATATGAGAATGGGAACCATACCTGTTTTATTCATTATTATAACCCTTACCTAGCTCAGTGACTAGGCCATAGAAGGTACTAAATAACTAATTGCTGGATTGGTAATTAAACTCTGCTTACTATAGCCTGTTCATACTTTAATACTTTTTTTGTTTTAACTTTTTTTTAATGTTTATTTATTTTTGAGAGATACAGAGACAGAATGTGAGTAGGTTAGGGGCAGAGAGAGAGACACACACAGAATCCTAAGCAGGCTCCAGGCTCTGAGCTGTCAGCCCAGAGCCTGATGCAGGGCTCGAACTCACAAGCTATGAGATCATGACCTGAGCCGAAGTCGGACGCTCAACTAACTGAGCCACCCAGGCGCCCCAATACTTTTTAAAAGAATACAGTAGTCAGAATTTTCCTTGTATCATATTTATGGTCCTTATTTATTTTCCTTACTGGATTATAAGTTTCCTCAGTCCTTTGTTTTTTGCTTTGTGTTTTCTCCCCCACAATGTCTATCACCATATTTTACAAACCATAGATTTTCCTCTATCTGCTTCCTCATCTTTTCCCCCACCATAATCCTGTTTGTAATTGTTGGAATCATGATACATAATGTGTTTTACTGTGGGGAAGTTACATTTAGATGCCAGCTATTAAATATACTACAGTATGTCAAGGAGTATGGAATTTAAAACCTAATCCTCTTTCAGAATTATTTATTTTATTGAGGTAAAATTGACATAACATTGTATTAGTTTTAACAGTATAATGATTTGGTATTACATATATTGTGAAATGAGCACCGTGATAAATCCAGTTAACATTCATCACTACACAGTTACATTTTTTTTCTCGCGATGAGAACTTTTTTTTTTTTTTTTTTGAGAGCGCACATGAGCTGGAGTGAGCATGAGTCAGAGAGGAGCAAAGGGAGTGGGGAAGAGAGAATCTTAGGCTCCTTGCAAGCATGGAGCCCAGCACGGGGCATGATCTCACAACTCTGAGATCATGACCTGAGCTGAAATCAAGAGCTGGATGCTTAACCGACAGAACCACCTAGGCACTCCATGATGAGAACTTTTAAGATCTACTGTCTTGGTAACTTTCAAATATACAATACAGTATTATTAACCGTAGTCCCCATACTGTGTATTACACCCTCATGCACACAGTTATTTATTTTATAATTGGAAATTTCTATCTTTTGATCCCCTTCACCCATTTTGCCCACCTCTTGTCCCCTGCCTCTGGCAACCAGTCTGTCCTTTGATTATCTATGAGTTTGGGGGTTTTTTTGTTCTTGTTTTTGTTTTAAATTTCACATGTAAGTGAGATCATATGATATTTGTCTTTCTCTGTTTGACTTCAGGGCACAAAACCCTCAGGGTCCATCCACATTGTTGCAAATGGCAAGATTTCCTTCTTTTTTATGGCTGAATTATATTATACCATATAGTTATGCTACATTTTATTTATTCAGTCATCTTTTGATAGACACTTAGGTTGTTTCCATGTCTTGGCTGTTGTAAGTAATGTTGCATGGGGGTACATGCATCTTTTTGAGTTAGATTTTTATTTCTTTTGGATAAATAACCAGAAGTGGAATTGCTGAATCACATGGTAGTTCTACTTTTAATTTTTTGAGGCACTTCTATACTGTTTTCCATAATGGCTGCACCATTTTACATTCCCACCAACAGTGCATGAGGGTACCCTGTACTCCTCGCCAATGCTTATTTCTTGTCTTTTTTGATAATAGCTATTCTAATAGGTGTGAGGTGATATGTAATCCTTTTTCAATGAATCTATTAAATTTGGTTTGTTTTATTTTAGAGAGAGACAGTGTATGAGCAGGGGAGAGGGGCAGAGGAGAGAGAGAGAGAGAGAGAGGGATAATCTTAAGCAGGTTCTACACTCAGAGCAGAGCCCAATGTAGGGCTCGATTCTACAACTCTAGGATCATGACTTGAGCCAAAATCAAGAGTTGGATGCTCAACTGACTGAGCCACCCAGGTGCCCCATGAATCTATTCTTTCTGGTGAGAACCACGATGATGCAGACTGATTTGGTGAAAAGGAAACTAGATCTGAAGTCTTTGGGGTCTAATCCTGATCATGTTAGCTGTGTACCATTATTCCAATTGTGATTGCTGTCCTGGAGCAGAAAGACAGTATGGAAACTTTGATTTAATATTTTATATTAGAATTGATTAAACTAAAACAACAAAATAAAACCAAATACTTAACAGTAATTTAAATTTGAAAATTGTAAACAACACAAAAATCAAGTAAAATTGCTAACATAATAATATAAACTTTGTGCCTGAGTGGCTCAGTCTGTTGAGTGTTGGACTTTTGGTTTCAGCTCAGGTCATGATCCCAGGGTTGTGAGATCAAGCACAAAGTTGGCCTCCGCTTTGAGTGTAGAGTCTGCTTAAGATTCTCTCTTTTGGGGTGTCTGAGTGGTTCAGTAGGTTAAGCCTTTGACTCTTGACTTTGGCTCAGGTCATGATGTCATGGTTCGTGAGTTCTAACGCTGTGTTGGTCTCTGTGCTAAGGCTACAGAGCCTGCATGGAATATTCTCTGTCTCTGTCTCTCTGTCTCTCTCTGTGTCTCTCTATTCCTTCCCCTCCCACCATTAGTTCTTTCTCTCTCTCTCAAAATAAATAAATTTAAAAAAAATTTAAAAAGTAAAAACTTAAAAAAATATAAAAACATAGTAAAAACAATATATATAAATATATAGTGTAAATATATTATAATAAATAATATAAATAAAATCAATAAATATAAATAAAATAAAAACAAATATATATAAAGATTTGCATTATTATAACAGAAGCCATAGCACAAAGCACTTGGCTCTACTTCCTTAAGAAAACAGGGTTAAGTGGTTTCCATAAGTCATAGGTGGATTTTTGTGCAAAATCTTAGAGATGCTGAATGAGCTTTTTCTGAAATAATCTGGGGAAATGGAGGGAGGCTAAACTAATTCTAAATTTTTTTCTTAATTTTCTTTATCTTCAGGCAGTCTCATCTTTTTAATAACTGAGGGGAATCTTTGAACCTTTTTGTGTGTTTTTCAATCTTTAGGTGTTAGCAAAGGGTAGTTTTTGTTTCAAGGAAAATATTTCTTGTACTTCTAGATTTGCAG